TACAGGATCATTAATGTATCCTTCCTTCATCAGATACTCACTAAGATGATTATACCACATTCATCCTGATTGTCTCAACCCATATAACGATCTTTGCAATTTTATTTAATACCTTATTTCTTTTATTTGCTTCTGGCACCTTGAATCCTTCAGGGATTTTCATATAGTTATCAGAATCCAGTACCATACAAATACACTGTTACAACATCCATGAGACACATATCGAGTCCTTCTAAGACTGATAAACTAATCAAGTATTGAAATATGATAGCATCTATCACTGGTGAATACGTCTCATCAAAGTCAATTCTAGGTCTCTTTAGGAAACCTTGAGCCACTAGTCTGGCCTTATACCTAGCAATCTCATTTTTCTCATTTTGTTTCCTTGTGAATACCCACTTGTATCTTACGGGTTTCAAGTTTTCAGGCATTGGACTACAGGTCCAAATATGTTACGTTTTGCTAGGGAGGTTAATTCTACTTGAATTGCCTCTTCTTATTTTGGCCAATCATGTCTCATTCGACATTCATCAATAGAATGTGGCTCAAACTCATCATTCATAATTTTAGTAGTTACTCTATATGAAAATATGTTATCGACAATAGTTGTTTCACGATTCCACATTTGTTTACTATGAGCATAGTTTATAGAAATTTATTCATTTCTATGTTCTTGCATTCCTTTAAGGATTTGTTCCTCTTTAGGGGTTTGTGTCTGTTTAGAGATTGTTAACTCTTCTGGAGTTGGTTTAAAAGGTGTGGAATTGTCAATTGTTCCAGTATTGTCAATATTGGCACCTATTTGATTTTGTGCCTTTCGTTTCCTAGGAACAGTATCCTTGGCTCCAACCGGCCTGCCACACTTCTGGCGTGTAATAGATGAATCGATCGCTGCCTGTATGGATTGTTCATTGGTAACATCAATCCTTGCTGGTGTATTGACAATAAGAATGTATGATCTTGTTATATTTTTGATGTATCTGTAAATGCATCAAGCATTTGGTTGGCAATATTTTGCAAATGTGTTATTCTTTGCACTTCAATTTTAGATTGAAATGTGCAAGGATCTAAATAAGACATATAATTTACTTTCCAAGAAATTTTAGGGGGCTTTACCTTTCCCTCTAAAGGAGGAAATATTGTTTCATCAAAATGGAAATCTGCAAAACGTGTGGTAAACAGATTACTTGTCAAGGGCTCAAGATATCTGATGATGGATGGTGAGTCATAGCCAACATATATTCCTAAACAACGTTGGGGTCTCACTTTGGTGCGTTGAGGGGGTGCAATTGAAACTTGCACAACACAACCAAAAGTTCTTAAATGAGATATATTAGGTTGGTGTCCAAATACAAGCTATATTGGAGAGTATTGATGATATGCAGTGGGTCTTAGGCGAATTAACACTGTAGCATGTAAAACATCATGAGCCTAGACATAAATCAGTAATTGCGTATGTAGTAGCAAAATTCATGCAATTAATTGAATACGCTTTATAAATGACTTTGCCATACCATTCTAGGTATGTACATGTGGTACTGGATGCTTAACATCAATTCCCATAGTTGTACAATAGTCATCAAATGCCTTTGAGATAAATTCACTAGCATTGTCCAAACATATTGCTTTAATTGGGTAATCTGGAAAGTGTCTCTGTAATTTGATGATTTGTGTTAGCAATCTAGCAAAGGCAACATTACGTGTTGATAGTAGACAAACATGTTCCATCGTGCAGACACATCAATCAGTACCATAAAGTAGCAGAAATGTCCATTTGGTGGATGAATAGGTCCACATATGTCCCCATGAATTCTTTGTAAAAATGATGGGGGTTCTAGACCAACTTTTGTGATAGATGGCTTAAGTGCCAATTTGCCTTGTGAGCAAGCCATGCAAGCACTCTTATAAAGTGATAGAATCTTCAAGTTCTTTAATGGGTGCCTACGTGAGTTTTCTATGATTCTACGCATCATAGTGGATCTTGGTTGACCAAGACGGTCGTGCCAAATCTTAAAAAGTTATGAATCAGTGAACTTTTGATTCATAACTGCATAGACTTCAACATTCTTCAAGAATGTGTAATATAACCCTGATGAGAAAGCAGAGAGTTTCTCCAATACATGCTTCTAGCATGAAATATTAGCAATGATGCATAGAAACTCTCCATCATTTTCACTTGAAGTTTCAATGTGGTATCTATTGAGTCATATATCTTTGAAATTAAACAAATTTCTTCTAGATTTGCTAGAATATAAAGCATCATGAATACTTAATTTAGTTCCGCTTGGTAACAAGAGTGTTGCTCTTCCAAAACCCTCAGTTATGTTTACAGACCCTGATATGGTATTTACTTTAGCTTCAGTAAAAGTCAAATTTGAATAATATTTTCTATCCTGAAGGATGGTGTGCATCGTTGCACTGTCTACTATACAAATGTCTCCATCATTACTGGAAATCGATGTTTCATTTTTTAAGTTCATCCTTTAAAGATTTTTTTTTTTTTTTTTTTAAACATTAGTGAAGATGTTTACATAACTTAGAGAGGTATAAACAAGACGAAAATATTCATAAAAAATACATAGTTTCAAAACATAACAAAAGTTACATAAATCCTAGAAATCACAGGCATTTTCATAACTACTCTAATATTCCCTATCGGCATCTCCAAAGAAATCTAAGACATTAAGGCCAGTCGGATCTGAATTATTAATATGATTTAACTCAGGGGCATTAGTGAGATTTGTTTCTATCTTTTTGTTCTTAATCGATGCTTGATACAATTCCACCAAGTGCTTAGGCATACGACAAGTACGTGACCAGTGGCCCTTTCCTCCACATATATAGCACTTGTTATCATTATCCTTGTTCTGTGAGTGGTTTCTTTCATTTTTTTTATTTAGTCTTACTCCATTTCGGGTGGTGCGATTGAAATTTCTTGTTATGACCACCTCTAGGTCGATAATTGTTTCGCCCATAACCTCGACCTAGACCCCGTCCACACCCACGATCATTATTGCTATCGTTGTGTTCACTTCGACGAACGATTGGGAACTAGTGGGGTGAGTCTAGTGGTTTCTTAGCAACAATTCATTATTTTGTTCAGCTACAAGTAAACAGTTCATTATTCAAAAATTTTATTGTTACGTGGTAGTTAAATGACATGGCATATGAGGTGACATCTGTCACGTAAGAGAGTAAAAAGGGGGAGTAATGCTAGCCTTACTCCCCCATTTTTTACTCCCTTACGTGGCAGCCGACATGGCAATATGCCACATCATTTAACTGCCACATAGGATCCCAAAAATTTTAAAAATAAAATTAATTCCCAATTTTTTTAAAAATAAAAGTGTATCCCAATTTTTTAAAAAATAAAATTTCTGCTTCTTGAATTTGCAATTCCCAAATTTTTTAACCCAAAATCATTTGATGAACCCTAAAAATCGACATCTCTTCTTCCCCAAAATCATTTGAAGAACCCTAAATTCGAAATCTCTCCTTCCCCAAAATCATTTGAACCCAGAATTTTTCCAAACCCAATTTCAATTTTAGTCACAATAATTGCCGTGTTCGTTACATACTTTGCATTGTAATTGAAACTGAGCGGAATTGGGAAGAAGACAACCTCTGAATTATGTTCTATTTGCTGGTAAAATAATCAGAATTGATGTTGGGAAAACAAATTTATTTTGTTTCTCTTCCTGTCAGGTACCCCTATGGTTTCTGATTGAGTAATTGATATATAATTTTAAGTTCTAGAATGCTGAAAGTAAAGAGGAAAACATGAAAGGAAGAGCCAGAATCAAAGAAGGAGAACGCTAATTGTTGCTAAATGCAGTTGGAGTCGGAGATGAAAATGCCTCGGTGGGGAAGAAAGTGAGGGAATTAACAGTGTTGTCGAGAGATGGGAATCCATAAAGCAGCTCCTCTATCTGCTCCTTTTGGTAGCCTCACATCACAAAGCTTCCCATCTCTTTCACTCAGGTTAGCACCAGTTCAGAGATGATACTCCTTTGATAGTTCAGCGAAAGTTGAAAGAAGACTGACTTGGGAAATGATATGATTTTACAGTTGGGTACATTAGTAGCGGTGAAGAACCCTCAAACGCGAAATCTCTGCTTCCCCCAAAATCATTTTACAAACCCAATTTCAATTATAGTGTTCAAATGATTTTGGAGAAGGAGAGATTTCGAATTTTAGGGTTCTTCAAATGATTTTGGATTTAAAAATTAGAGAATTGCAAATTCAAGAAGCAGATTTTTTTTTAAATTGGGATAAACTTTTATTTTTCAAAAAATTAGGAATTGCAAATATAGGGAAGCAGAAATTTTATTTCTAAAATTTTTAGGGATCCTAAATGGCAATTGGGTGACGTGACATATGAGGCGGCACCTGTCACCTCAGTTGCCATATAAGGAAGTAAGAAAAGAAAGTAAAAAAGGAGAGTAAGGCTAACATTTTTTGTGAAAAGGGAGAGTAAGGCTAGAATTATTCTTTGCTCATTGCCTATAACCGGGCGAATTTCATTCTGTACTGTATGTATAACCAACCAATTATAATTATTGCTCTGCTCATATAACGAGCACACGTATGACTAAAAATTATCTTTGCACATAAAGGATATCTACCTTACATTGTCCATCAGGTATGACTAATATATCTTAATCCTAATTTAGTTATTAGTATTAACCTTTATTAACTTTGTGTCAATCTGAACACAAGGCACAGAATGGTTTTTACTTCTTTTATCTATCTGATGTCATATATCAAAATAGTTGACCACAGAGGTACCACATGAGGTTATGATAAGCTTCATCTTATGCATCATAAACTTTCCGGAAAGAACGGCCTCAGAGATACTGATTCTGAGTGAAGTAATTAGTTTTAGATTATCTTTTGTGCATGTAAGTTGCAGTGTTGCACACAGACCTGAAGACTAACAAATGAAAAAGAATTTCATGATCTGGCTAGCTATTATGCTAATATGATTAGTCACAACGAAGTAAAACAAAAAGAAAAATAACATAATTAACAAAGTCTCTGGACACTGAGACTGTTTCCCAAGTTTACAACCAAGGAAAATTAATGCACGACATAGCAAGATTTTATCCTACAACGCATTTATAAGATAGAGGCAGTTTGACTTTGACACATCTAATTGCCCAAAACGGAATTTCCAGGAAACTGACCTCAGCAAGAATTAAGAAAATTGCTGATCAGTGTACTGCCCTGAAATCTTCTTTTCCAGTATTGTAAATGTCTCCCTCTTTGGATTCCCTATTAAATATTTTAACAAGGTTTCAGGATCGATTACAAAGCAAAATAGTAGAGCTATACTCTAAATTATATTGTGATTTCTAGATTCAGAGAAACAACAAAAACCTGATAATGGAAATATACAAGAGTCAGCAATCATTCATATAAAAGTAAGAAGAAACAACATATAACTCAAAAAGAAGTTCACACGCTTAACCTTGTCTGAGTTAAAAATCTTCCACATACCACCCCACTAATCATCCCTGACATTATCAATACCGTTTGATTGGTGTAGAAAATACCAAGAATACATTTTGGGAGAAGCATACCAACTATAATCCCCATTCCGTAACACATCAATAGCAATAGCATTTTGTGGCTCCTCACGATTAAATGAGTATAAACTACATCTTTTGGAATCGAAAAAGAGACCATATGTGTAATTGGTTTGTCCTCCCCACTTTGATGGGTTAATTACCTTGGAACACATCATGTCATCATAGCCATGAAACAAAGCTTGATCACTTAAATTATACACCTTCACCCATTCCATCCTTGACAAGTCAATTCTGTAAAGTACAGGAGGATCAACTACAAATAGCTGATCATTTGAAGTCACCAACCTAATCCACTTATCATAATAACTGCACAAACGAGGTGCAAATTTCAGTTCCAAAAACCTTAGATCACAAGATCTCAGGTTGAATATCCCAATCTGAAAGTTACTGTCTAGAGCATATATCCTACCATAAAAAACAACTATATCCAATAGACGCCAACCCTTGTTAATATAATGGCATTCTTTCCACTTGTTATCTCTAGAAGTACAGAACTGCAAGCTTGAGTCATGCTCATAAAGAATCATAATAAGAAATTCTTGACCTTGAGATCCAAAGGAAGCAAAGATGCTACGGAAGATGCCAGAGTCACGACAATCATTAATATGAGGAGGCCGAGGCATGCAAGGGAATTGGATTTGATGTCCTGTAAAAGGATTTATAACCCACAAAGCCCTTGAAACATCTTTTTTCTTGAGAGAGAGCATGATTAAGTACCCACTTGAAACACCAAGACAGAACTTGAAGTTGCAAAGATATCGAGGCAGCTTAGTCTTGTATTTCATTCGAGTAGCTATGTCAAAGAAATGGCAATACTTCTTAGCTCGTGCTGATGAATAAACAATAAGTGGTGAATGAGATGTCAAAAAACTCTGCTTAAATTCTGAATAAAACAATCTCCAGCTTCTGCAAACTCGACCATGGTTTTGATAGTCTACTATATTCAGACTTCTAGAAATAATCTCAAGAAGTTCTTGCGGAAGATCAGCCCATGATGATGATCTCTTAAAGTGGAGCCTTCTTGCCTGATTGGATCTTCTATTATTCTCTATTTCCACCAATGTGCCTGCAATATTTTTCATAGTTGCAGAGTTATAACATAATCAGCTGAAAATATTATTCATTTATTCCCAAAATTGTTCTTGCAGAATCAACCACAAAAAAGAAACGCGTTGAAATTTCGTAAAATTAATTTAAAAAAATGATCAAATTAAGATCCATTTGATCAAAAACAAAAGAGACATTAGCCCTAGATTTTTGGTACCTCTGAAAACTAACTTGTGTAACCATCGATGCATAAGCAATTACAGAAAACAAGTACCATAAGCATTGTTATCTAAAACCCTTAAGAACCATTAAGTAAATAGTCTAAACTCATGATATAAAAAGTCACAAGAATGGTTAATCACTCATTAATCGCTTATACCTGATGTTCTTGACGGTGACCGCATATTTTAGAGATAGAAGAAGACAGTGATCCTAAACAAGGGCTATATCGATTTATGTTCCTAAAGGAAACAAATCCCTTCTGAGTCAGGTCTGGTAAAACGGGTCTATACCCGCGGTATCCGTATCCGTCAAAATAATAATACAGACTTACAGAGTATGGATCCATCATTTTGGACCCTTTTTTATTTACCGAACCCGGTCTGCCCATATTTTGCAGGTAGTCGGGTATACTGCGGGTACCCGTGCAAATAAAAAAAAAAAAAAAAATTGCCCAAAAACAAAATGCACAAGCCTGAAGCCCTAAACCTAATCCACCTTCGACGTTCCATTTCGACCCTTCCTAACATCTCTCTCTCTCCATCTGCAATTCTGCATCTGTCCTCTCTTCGTTTAAAAAAGCTCCTTATTCTTCGTCGCCGCCGCCTGCTTAGGTAAGTAAGACCCTTCTCTCTCTCTCTCTCTCTCTTTTTCTTCTTGTGTTTTTTATTTATCGTCCAATTTATTTTTCTCGTATTTGTTGGGGGGCAAAATTGAACTCTGATTCGTTTTGATCTTGAAGTTGAACAATCATTCAAGCGTGAAGTTATGGCCATATTAAAAGTATCATAATTTGCTTCTCTGATACCTTTGTGGATGGAGCAGTTAGATTGCAGATTGAATAGTATTGTATTAAAATTTTAGGCTAGAATTAATATGAACCTGTAATAGTTATATCCTTAGTAAGTTTATTAGTGTATTAATGGAAAGCGCATTTGAAAAAAGATGAAAAGATCTAATGATATCACGGTTGAATGCCCTTTGTAAAGAACTAAAGTTATATGGGATTGAAGTGGACAAATATCATATTAAATTAAATCTCAAAAGCTACAAAAAAATAAAATTGAAAAATCACGTTTTTGAATCGGATTATTCTTCCTTTGACGGTAAAAAATTTCTGCATTCAAAGCTGCTTGTAACAGGACCATTTTTCAAGAAGGAAATTGGTTAATTTGTATTTGTTTTAATTAACTAGCTAGTCATTTCAGTCTATGAATATATAAGCTTTTGACTGCATGTTATGCACCATATTTGGCTTATATTTGTTCTGCAATTTGCACTTCAATATATTATAGTTGATGTTTTACTATTGGATCTTTCATGGACACATGCTATAACGACTTTGTTGGGAATCTCACTGTTTGGCTGAAATTATGAAATACTGATGGTAGGACTGCTAGTTGATATGCAATCACTTAAGTAATATACTGTATAACTAGTAATTCTTTGAGAAATATAAGATAAAATCTACTAAATAACTTTTATGTAAAATCTGAAAATTCTAATTTTTAATTCATATAAATATATATACAAAATACTGATATACTTTAGTAAGCATAAGATAATCTTGAACAATGCCGCCAAACTCCTCTGTTTCTTGACGTCCCACTCGGTCGTAAATCATCTAGTACTTACAAAATAGTAAAATAACGGATTGAGCACTAATTGCTCAGTAAGTAAATCAAACTGCACGACTGTTCTTCCTCCATTACTCATATTCTGATTTTTCTTTTCTCACTTTATTCTTTGTTAATATTCTTCATTCCTTTATGGTATTCTGCGTTCCTTTTTGATATTCTGCATTCTTTTTTGATACTCTGATTTGCTACTTACCAACGTTCAAAGACAATGAATAAAACTGTACATCGTTGAGCACATAAAAATACTGAATCATGTAAGTAGCATAATACATTTGCAGAATAATAAACTTTCCTGAGAAAAGAACTTTCTTTTCTTTTCTGTTTCTGTTTCTCTTATGCTGTATCTCTTTCTTTTCTTCTCTGCTTTTCTTTTTTTCTTTTTTCTTTCTGGTTTGTCGATCGGACTAGGTTGATGCATGGATTTGGAACCTTGGCCATGTGAGTGGGTACGGTCTTTATCTACATGCACTACTCATGGATTGTACAAGTACGGTATCTCTTTGCTATGGCCGCTCGCTCGTGGCGACGTGCATGTAGGTATGCTCTGCTGGGTACAGTCCTCATCCACATACACTACTCACTGACTGTACAAATACTATATCTCTCTGCTGATGCCGCTCGCTCGTGGCGGCGTGTATGTGAGCATCTCTGTCATTCACGGGTTTCCCATCGCAAAAACATTATATCATAGCATGCTATAGAAAGAGAATACAAAAAGATACTGTACACATTTTAACATGAATTTCCAAGCTATGGAAATTCTACACTTACATTCTTTAAAAACGTACATTTTCCATATATGAAAATATAATTTCATCATGACCATTTCGCGGATGCATAACAAATTCATAGAAACATATCATCCTTAGGCTTATTTATACATACACAAGCTCATACTTAGGTAATATAAAACATATTACACATAGCCTCCATGGTCATTCATTACATCAAATATATATGTTTATCAACTGACTAATAGTATTGGTGGTATGTGTTTTAAGATGGGACGGACGACTCGATCCAGTAAGAAGAATGCAACGAGTATGGGTGAGCCATCCAACCAGTCCGGATGTACTCCCACTATCCTTGATGAGGCGAGGATTCGTACCATTATTCAACAGGTATTGGTAGAGAGCCAGGGGAGACCTATATTGGATAGAGTTGAGACCTCAGTTGTTGTACTGACCACTAGAGGGGAGAGAGAAAGGTCGATACCTTCGATAGTAAAAAGTCATCTTGAGCCCATTTATGGGTTACCTAGTCAACATCAGTTGTTAGAATTTAGAGGTACGACTGACCTAGTAGTGGCAGAAGAATGAATTAGATCCGTGGAGCGTACGACAACACTTTTTCCTATGACAGATTGGGAGAAGATCCGGTATGCGAGTTTCTTGTTTAAGAGTGATGCCCGGATATGGTGGAAGCTGATGGAGGAGACTTATGATGTAGCCACTATGACTTGGGGAGATTTCAGACGACTTTTTGAGGCAGAATACATGACAGCTGACAGAATGCATGAAAAGATACAGGAATTTATTAGCCTACGCAGGGAATTAGTTCAGTGAAAGAATACTCTATTAGATTTAATTCCTTGGCAAGGTTTGCACCAGGTATAGTGAGCACACTAGAATTGAGGATGAACAAGTTTGTGCATAGGCTGAATCCAGAAATAGCTCAAGATGTGATGGCAGGTGAGCGAGCTTTACAAGGTGAAGTATTTGTGAATAAGTTAACTCCATTGACTCCATCAGCAGTAATGCCCAGTATTCCACCTTCTGCTCCACAAAGAGACAGGTTTGATGCCTTCAGCAATAGAGAAGGGAAGAATAAGAAAAGATTTAAGTCAAAGAGGAACAGTAGGGACAGGAAGAATAAACGGCCAAGGACTATTGAGTTTCCCCAATGTCAGAAAAACACACTCATTTATTACACATGGGATTATAGAGAGATTTGGGTTTGAAACTTATTACAGTAGATCAACCCATTAAGATAAAAGTGTCAGATAGTGACAGTGTGGTAACTTGGGAGATACTTCCAAGGGAGTCCATAGTGATCCATGGAAGAATGTTGCCGGTAGATTTGATTGTGTTTGACATGCCTGACTTTGATGTTATTTTGAGCATGGATTTTCTAGGGAGATATGGAGTAGAAATTGATTGCCGAAAGAAGAAAGCAAGATTTAATCTTGATGACGGCGATAAATTTGGTTTCGGAGAGGGCTATCAACTTAGTATGTTAATTAGTAGTGTAAAAGCCAGAAAGATGTTAAGAAAAGGGTGCTCCAGGTATATTGCCCATGTGGTTCAAAGCAGTGAGGTCCCTCGATTAGAGATCCAGATGTATTTCTGGATGATTTGCCAAGTTTACCTCCAGAAAGAGAAATGGAGTTTAGCATTGAGTTGGTACCAGGGACAGCACTGATTTCTAAAGCCCCTTATCGTATGGCCCCAGCCGAACTCCTGGATTTGAAAAAGCAGCTCCAAGAACTCCTAGACAAGGGTTTTATTCGACCCAGCCATTATCCCTGGGATGCTTCGAGTCTATTGTAAAGAAGAAAGATGAGTCGCTACGATTGTGCATAGATTACAGAGAGTTGAATAAAATGACAATGAAGAATAAATACCTGTTACCTTGCATAGATGATTTATTTGATCAGCTTAAAGGAGCAGCAGTGTTTTCAAATATTGATATGAGGTCGGGTTATCATCAAGAGTTGCAGAGCAAGATACCGCCAAGACTGCATTTCGGACAGATATAGGCATTATGAGTTTGTGGTGATGCCTTTTGGGTTAATCAATGCCCCAACAGTCTTTATAGACTTGATGAACTAGGTGTTTCATGACTGTCTTGATTGATTTATAGTGGCGTTTATTGATGACATCCTAGTTTATTCTAAAACAAGAGAAGAGCATGAAGAACATTTGAGATTCGTGTTGCAGCGAATTGAGAGATAATAAGTTGTTTGTCAAACTTTCTAAATGTGAGTCCTGGCTGGATCAAGTTATCTTTTTAGGCCACACTATCTCAAAAGAAAGTGTCTCAGTAAATCTTAGCAAGGTAAAGGCAATCTTAGAGTGGTAAAGGCCGAAGACAGTGAAAGAGGTTAGAAGTTTCTTAGGGCTTGCAGGTTATTACAGGCGGTTTGTAGCAGGATTTGGCCAGTTGGCTAAGCCGCTTACAGCTCTTACTAAACAGAGAACTCCTTTCATGTGGTCAGATACGTGTGAAGAGAGTTTTCAAGAGTTAAAAGAAAGACTCACCATAACTCCTATTTTGGTGTTACCACAAGAGGGTGTAGACTATGATATTTATACAGATGTCTCACTTTAGGGACTTGGTGCTGTGTTAATGCAGTTGGGTAGGGTAATAGCTTATGCTTCCCGACAGTTGAAAGAGTATGAGATAATATACCCTACGCATGATTTAGAGTTAGAAGCCGTAGTCTTTGCATTAAAGATATGGAGACATTACTTGTATGGGGTAAAGAGTAATATTTATACTGATCATAAAAGTTTGAAGTATTTCTTCACCCAAAACGAGCTGAATATGAGACAAAAGAGATGATTGGAGCTAGTAAAAGATTATGATTGTGAAATTAAGTATCAGCCTGGAAAAGCCAATGTAGTAGCTGATGCTTTGAGTAGGAAAGTCTTTTTGTCTCAACTCACAAAAGAACTATTGGAAGAATTTCTCAAGGAACAGATATAGATGGTACCAGGAAGAATTGCCAGGTTAGAAATTCAATCTACTTTACTGGAAGAGATTAAAGAAAAGCAAGTTATTGACGAGTGGTGTTAGAAAATGAGTCGACAAGTGGTGATAGTAAACAGATTAACCAAATCAACGCATTTTTTTCCAATAAAAGACAGTACCACCTCAGATCAGTTAGCTCAGATCTACATCAGAGAGATAGTTAGATTGCATGAGGTGCCCAAGACAATAGTATCAGATAGAGATTCCAGATTTGTTTCAGCTTTCTGAACTAGTCTATAGAGAAACTTGGGTACCAGGTTAACATTTAGTACAACTTACCACCCACAGACAAATGGTCAAACTGAGAGAATCAATCAGGTGTTTGAGGACATCCTGAGAGCGTATTGTATGGATTATAAAACGACCTGGCATGAGATGCTACCATTGATAGAGTTTGCTTACAATAACATCTATCAGTCTACAATTAAGATGGCTCCTTATGAAGCTCTATATGGTAGACGATGTAGATCCCCCCTATACTAGGATGAAGTGGGAGAGAAAGATGCTTTGAATGCAGCTCTTGGACCTGAGATAACTCAGAAAATGATGGAAGATATTAAGTTGATCAGGAACAGAATGAAGCAAGTCAAGACAGACAAAAGAGCTATGCGGATTTAAAGAGAAAGAATGTAGAATTTGAAGTGGGTGATAGAGTGTTTATTAAGATTTCCCCCTACAAGTGGGTAATACGGTTTGGTGGTAAAGGAAAACTTGCCCTTAGATACATTGACCCCTTTGAAGTGTTACAACGAGTAGGAAATGTAGCTTACAAATTGGCGCTACCACCAAATATGGATAGAGTGCACAATGTTTTCCATGTATCAATGCTTCAAAGATATGTCAGCGATCCCTCCCATATATTGAAAGCAGCAGAAGTGAAATTAGAGGAGAATCTTGTTTACAAGGAGCGCTCAGTTCAGATACTGAACAGAAAAGTTAAAGAGCTCTGAAATAAGAGTATTCCCTTAGTAAAAGTTCTATGGAGGAATCATACAGTGGAAAAAGTTACATGGGAAGTGGAGCAAGATGTACGTAATTGCTATCCTGAGTTGTTCATTTGAATTTCGAGGATAAAATTCTTTTAAAGGGGGGATAATTGTAACACCCACATCAAGTACTTATGCCCTAATACCCTTAGTTGGATTTCTTTGAAGTTACCTTATACAAATGTGAAGACAATTCCTTAAAACTTCATTAGAGGTAAAATGGTTTTTTCACTCCTAATTAGTTGAAAGAGTGGAAAGTGAAAGGAAGCAAAATAATGTGAAGAAGATAGTAAAAATGAGGATATTTTAGTAATTAACTAAAGGACATAGATGAAATTTCATAGAAAGTGCAAGGGCAAAATGGGAATACATGCTTATATTATTTGATATAAGGTTTAATTTGAAGAAACCCTAACCAAAATGCAGCCCTTGTTCACGCCATCTCCTCTCCATCTTCTCTCAATTTTCTTCACTAAATTTCAAAGGGAAATCATAGGATTTGGCTTGGATTTTCATAGATTTTCAATCTTAAAGCATCCTAAGGTAAGATTCTAGCAAAAGGAATGCGATTAAATTTAAAGTTTTAAATTCTTATGGTTTTTATATGATCTAGGTCCAAGAGGAAGAGATTTAGAGCAAAAGGGAAGTGATATCACATATTCAAGGTAAGTAAACCTAATTTTGAACTTGATTTGAGCAAGACTTGTGTTTAATGAATTTTTGCATGTTTGGATATGATTGTATGAGAGAGTTATTGGCTGTTTTTGATGTTTAATGATGTGTAATTTCCAGCCATGAGAAGTAGTGTATGGTTATGTGATGATTTAGTGAAGTTATGAAAGAATTAGTGTTGAAATTTTTGAAGTGTAGAGAATTATTGAAAATGGACAGGTTTGATACTAAATTTAGTGAGTTTTTGGCTCACAATTTGATTAAATTAGGTAGTTGTGGAAGTGTAGCCAACATGGTAGTTGCATGTGCATATAAAGTGTTTGATGAAAATCCAAAAAGAAATTGCATGCATGAGTTGGCTAAACCTTAATGAAGAAAGGGTTAGACAAAGGCAAGAATTGAAGTTTGATGATAATCAATGGAATTAGTTGTGTCATGAGTTTTTAACATATTACATGTTTTCACAAGGGAGAATGATTAAGAAAGGTTGGGGAGTAAGTGGAGGTAAATAGGTATGGAAAAGCCTTAAAGTAGGCATGTTACCATGGTTGTCCTGTCAAATCCGTGGCCTTATGAGTGATTTTTGGGCATCTTACCTATCGAACTGGGTTGAGAACTAAACATAAAAGTTGTAGCCCTTTTTCTAAGCTTTAAAATGAGACCAAGACCATAGCAATCCGATATGTATAACTTGAGATATGCCTTCTTGAATATGATGTGTGCAGAATGACTCCTCAAAAGTTCTTCTACTTTATTAGTTTATTTTTCGATGTGTAAAACTGTTCTTCATCCATTACTCATGTTCTACGTTCTTTTTTGATATTCTGCATTCTTTTTTTATACTCTGATTTGCTACTTACCAACGTGCAAAGACAGTGAATAAAACTGAACATCGTCGAGCACATAAAAATACTGAATCATGTAAGTAGCATAATACATATGCAGAATAATAAACTTTCCTGAGAAAAGAACTTTCTTTTCTTTTCTGTTTTTGTTTCTCTTATGTTGTATCTCTTTCTTTTCTTCTCTGTATCTCTTTCTTTTCTTTCTTCTTTCTGGTTTGCCGATCAGACTAGGTTGATGCATGGATTTGGAACCCTGGCCATGTGAGTGGGTGTAGTCCTCATCTACATACGCTACTCACAGACTATACAAGTATGGTATCTCTCTGTTGTAGCCGCTCGCTCGTGGTGGCGTGCATGTATGTGTGCTCTGCTGGGTACAATCTTCATCCACATACACTACTCACGGACTTTACTAATACTATATCTCTCTGCTGATGCCGCTCGCTTGTGGCGGCGTGTATGTGGGCATCTCTGTCACTCACAGGTTCCCATCGCAAAAACCTTATATCATAGCATGCTATAGAAAAAGAATAGAAAGAGATACTATACACATTTTAACATGAATTTCCAAGCTATGGAAATTCTACACTTGCATTCTTTAAAAACATACACTTTCCATATATGAACATATCATTTTATCATGACCATTTCGTGGATGCATAACAAATTCATAGAAACATATCATCCTTAGGCTTGTTTATACATACACAAGCTCATACTTAGGTAATATATAACATATTACACATATCCTCCATGGTCATTCATCACATCAAATATATATGTTCATACAATCATTAAATAATCACAAAGACCACTCATTCAAACATGCTTCACAACCCTTTAAGCATCATTTTCATTATTGGAATCAATCATAGATTATTAGACCAAAAATAAACTAACAAAGTAGAAACACTTTTGAGGTAGTCATTCTGCACACATCATATTCAAGAAGGCATATCTCGAGTTATACACATTAGATTGCTATGGTCTTGGTCTTATTTTAAAGCTTAGAGAAAGCGTTACAACTTTTATGTTTAGGTCTCAACCCAGTTCGATAGGTAAGATGGCCAAAAATCACTCAAAATGCCATGGATTTGATAGGGCAACCATGGTAACATGCATACTTTAAGGCTTTTCCATACCTATTTACCTCCACTTACTCCCTAACCTTTCCTAATCATTCTCCTCTGTGAAAACATGTAATATGTTAAAAACTCATGACACTACTAATTCCATTGATTATCATCAAACTTCAATTCTTGCATTTTTCTAACCCTTTCTTCATTAGGATTTAGCCAACTCATGCATGCAATTTCTCTTTGGATTTTCATCAAACACTTCATATGCACATGCAACTACCATGTTGGCTACACTTTCATAACTCTCTAATTCAACCAAATTGTGAGTCAAAAACTCACTAAATTTAGTATCAAACCTGTCTATTTTCAATAATTCTCTACACTTCAAAAATTTCAACACTAATTCTTCCATAACTTTACTAAATCATCACATAACTATACACTACTTCTCATGGCTGGAAATTACACATCATTAAACATAAAAAATAGCCAATAACTTTCTCATACCATCATATCCAAACATGTAAAAATTCATTCAACACAAGTCTTGCTCAAATCAAGTTCAAAATTAGGTTTATTTACCTTGAATATATGAGATCACTTCCCTTTTGCTCTAAATCTCTTCCTCTTGGATCTAGATCATATAAAAACCATAAGAATTTACAACTTTAAAGTTTAATCGCACTCATTTTGCTAGAATCTTATCTTAGAATGTTTTAGGATTGAAAATCTATAAAAATCCAAGTCAAATCCTATAATTTCCATTTGAAATTTAGTGAAGAAAATTAAGAGAAAATGGGGAGAAGACGGCGTGAAGAAGGACTGCATTTTGGTTAGGGTTTCTTCAAATTAAACCTTATATAAAATAATATAAGCTTGTATTCCCATTTTGCCCTTACACTTTCTATGAAATTTCATCTATGTCCTTTAGTCAATTACTAAAATACCCTCATTTTTATTATCTTCTTCACATTGTTTTGTTTCCTTTTACTTCCCATTTTTTCAACTAATTAGGAGTGAAAATATCATTTTATCCTAATGAAGTTTTAAAGAATTTTCTTCACATTTGTCTAAGGTAACTTTAAATTAATGGTATTAGGACATAAGTAAAATTACGTACTTTGATGTGGGTGTTATATGCTACATTTTGATTTTTTTGTTTTGTATTTTCTATTCAGGTCTTCTAGTGGACTGTGACGAACTCTTTTTAGGTTTGAAATTTCAAATTGATGCCATTGCAAAAATCGAGTTAAATAGCCACCTATCAAACTCTAGTATTATATTTTGGAAGTACCACTACCACAAGCTAATGCACCCATGCAAGTAATAATCTGACTACCCTTGTGCTGTTTCTGTTTTCGGTCAAACCGGTTTTGCATGTAGTTGCTTTCTGGAGAGTGAAAATCCTCACTAGTTGTGCTTATAGAAGAGCAAATTAATTATAAAGTGTTTTAATATTCATGTTCAGGAAAGAGAGGGGCGGAACCAGCCCCTTGGAGGGCCTACCCTCACATTTTAAAAAAAAAATTGTTTATATAGCCCATTTCCCATTAAGGGAGGCAATCGGAGAGGGGAAAGGCAGGCGACCAAAGCGAGACTGCCCGGTCTTGATTAGCAATTTCTGGCAGGAGCTCTTTCGTTTACAAGGGAATAGGCTTATAAAAAAATTCTCTCTCTCTCTCTCTCTCTCTCTCTCTCTCTATATATANTATATATATATATATATATATATATATACTCATAAAAAACTTACTATTAATATATAAATTTAACGTCTACATTATATTAAAAGTTTAAAACTCTCTCCACTCTTTTTTACGTGTATCTGTTTTTTATGATTTTATCACTAAAATTATTTATTTTTTCGTTCTCTTTTTCACTTTTTTTATATTATTCTTTCTTAAAACTTTTGAAGACTGAAATTGTTGAAGCTTTCACTTATCAAGGTGCCACAATTAGCTTTATTTCTGTTTTCTCAGTTTTAGATATGTGTATTGCTTATTTCATTTCAGTTTATTTTAGGGTTGAATCATGCTTATTTTTTGGAGGTTTTTTATTCTACTTTGATGGAAAAATACATGAATCTTGTGAGTTTATTTTGTGTTTTATGTTTAAGAATGTTTCCGCTTTCCCAAATTAAACATTAACTATATTTTACTGAACGTTATTCTTCACCCTTCACCCACTACTTTTCTACATTTCAAACGTTACCGTTTAGTTGTTCAAAATTATTAAAGAAGCTTGGGTTATTATCTATGTTTATACTAAGAAAAATTTCCCTTTTTTTATTAATTCATATTAAAAGTCAATGCAACATTGACTTAATTTAAGTTTTGGTTGACTTTAACTTGAGCAAGGTCTAATCAAAGTCATGAAAATTTATATTATAATCTTTGAAAAAAAAATTGAAAGGGAAAAAAAAAAAAAGAAATAAGAAATTTGTGTAGAACATTTTTTGTGTATTGTGATTGTTGTAAACTCTTTTAATTATATTGGATTTAAGTGGATCGTTAGATTCCCGTGGTCTTTTTGCTCTCTTTAATTGAAGAGGTTTTTCTATGTAAAAATTTTCTTGTGTTTCCTCATGAATTGAATGTTATTTTCAACATAATTTGCTCAAGGTTTTGCTTCTTATAGAGTTATTCAAGTGGTAAAGTATTCTTCTGTTGTATTATTTTTTTTTTCAAATTATTAATATTATATTATTTCTTTTGCTGGTGATTTTTTTAAATTTTTCACTAGTTGTTTGATAAACAATTACGGAGCCACGGAGGCCCCTCCGGGCAAAAATCTTGGATCCGCCGCTGGGAAGGAGGAGACGAATTAAAAATATGCACATACATTTTATGCAAGAATAAATTCTTGTTGAGGTGTTCTCAATAATATCAATGAAGCAACCAGAATCAATATGTGCATACCATGTAAAGTATCCTGAAACAAGCAATAAACTAAATGAGAGCAGTACTTGAAGAGACACTTGAATCAATTTCGTTGACTATATAATTGCCAAAAGGGAATTTCACAATCATTGCTATGTCAAACTCTTTCAACAAGATACAAATTTTCCATTGGAGATGGCACTTACAATTTCCTTTTTAACATAAATCCAAATGGTGCTAATTATTACAACATAGTAAACTAGAACACAAGCAAAACAAATCAAGAAGCTCTCTTGAAACTGAGACTGATTGCAGGAACTCACCATTTAAGGAGTATAAAGGATATATATGCAGTTGCTTCGTCCTCCCCACATTGCTGGGTTCATTAGCTTGAAGCAACAATTGTTGCCATAATCAATAAACAAAGCTTGGTCACCCAAGTTAGTCACCTTCACCCATTCCGTCCTTGAAAAGTCTTTTCTGTAAACTTCATAATTATATACTATCGAAGCTGATTATCTAAAGCCGCCAACCTCGACCGCTACCAGTCAAAACGAGGTGCAAAATTCAATTCCAAAAGCCTAAAATCAGAAGATCCCAGGAAAGGGCGTGGAAGAGAATTGGCGCTGATGTCCTGTAACAGGATTTATAAGCCAAAAAATACCCTCAAAAAGATGACCTCTCTTCATAAAGTACATGATTAATTAGCCACTTGAAACACCAAGACAGGACTTGAAGTCCCAAATATCATTAGGCAGGTTAGTTTTGTATCTCATTCGAGAAGTTATGTCAAAGAAATAACAAGAATTCTCACCATGTCATGTTGAACCATAAATAACAAGAGGTGATTGTGATGTGTGAAGAATGAAGTTTCAAAACAAGATGATGAGCAGAGTTTTAATTATAAGAATGTTAAGTAAAAACGCAGCGTACTGTAATAGTTGTTCAGAGTCGTCATTGAGTGTTTGAAAAAGGGTTAAGAAACTTGCTGAGTCAGCAAAACCTGGAGTACTCTGCATTTCAAGTGAGCTGGATTGCCCTGATTTACGCACTGTCATTCTTGTATAAGAACCGAAACCTCATTCACTTCAATAAGATTTAAGAAGTTCTTTTTAGTATGTAACTGCTTATGGAGACTTGAGAATCGAATTTGCAGAAATAAACTAAACCAGAGCAATATATTTGCAGAGAGACTTGAAACAATTTTGTTGACTAGGGTATTGGTAAAGGGAACTCTATGATCTGGGTGCTCAACACAAGCTGTTATGTTAATATAATTAGCCACAACAAATTTAAAAATAAAACTCTTACACTGATAATCTTCTCCAAGTTTACAACTGAAAAAAAGAAAACTAATACCCAGTATAGCAAGATTTTATTCTACAACTCGTATAAGATAGAGGCAGTTTGACAACTAATAGCTCAACTGAATTTCAAGGGAACTGACCTCAGCAAGAATTAACAACATTGCTGATACATTCACTGCCCCGAAATCTTCTGTTTCAGTTTTGAAAATTAATTTTTCCATTCTAGGTGCACAGAAAAGATAAGAAACTGATAATAGAAATATACAAGATTTAGCAAATTGTCAACAATATTGTATTGTTATTATCTCTAAGCATATTAACAATTGTAAAAGAGTTGGAAGAAATAACATATAACTCCGACAAAGAAAAAAAGAGTTCACATTTGACCTTGTCTAAGCTTAGAAATCTTTACAAACCACCCCACTACTCATCCCTTACATTCTCAATACTGCTTGACTGATGTAGAAAATACCAAGAATATATTTTGGTCGAAGCATAACCTTTCCCACCCCCTTGCTGTGGCAAATCAACAGTAATAGTTTCCCGTGGCTCCTGGTGATTAAACGGGAATAACTTATATCTGGTAATAGTATTCTGTGGCTCCTTGTTAAACGGGAATAAGAGACTATATATGCAGTTGTTTTGTCCTCCCCACTTTGATGGGTTAATTACCTTGGAACACATCACGTCACCATGGCCAAGAAACAAAGCTTGATCACCTGAATTATACACCTTTACCCATTCCATCCTTGACAAGTCTATTCTGTAAACTTTAGGAGAATCAACTACAAACAGCTGATCATTTGAAGCCACCAACCTAATCCACTCATCAAAATAACTGCCGAAACGAGGTGAAAATTTTAGTTCCAAAAACCTCAAATCACAAGATCTTAGGTTGAATATCCCAATCTGAGAATTACTGTCTAGAACATATATCCTACCATAAAAAACAACTATATCCAATATACGCCAACCCTTTTTAACATAATGATATACTTTCCACTTGTTATCTCTAGAAGTACAGAAATGCAAGCTTGAGACATACTTGGAAAGAATCATAATAAGAAAATCTTGACCCTGTGAACCAAAGGAAGCAAAGATGCTACGGGAGATGCAAGAGTCATGATAATCCTTAATACAATGAGGCCAGGGCACACAAGGGAATTGGATTTGATGTCCCGTAAAAGGATTTATAACCCATAAATAATCCCTTGAAACATTGTTTGTCTTGAGACAGAGCATGATTAAGTATCCACTTGAAACACCAAGACAGAATTTGAAATTGCTAATATATCGAGGCAGCTTAGTCTTGTATTTCATTCGAGTAGTTATGTCAAAGAAATAACAATACTTCTTAGCTCGTGTTGATGCATAAACAATAAGTGGTGAATGAGATGTCAGAAAACTCTGCTTAAATTCTGAATAAAATAATCTCCAGCTTCTGCAAACTCGACCAAGGTTTTGATAGTCTACTATATTCAGACTTCTAGAAATAATCTCAAGAAGTTCTAGTGGAAGATCAGCCCATGCTGATGATCTCTTACAGTGGACCCTTCTTGCCTGATTGGATCTTCTATTATTCTCTCTTTCCATCAATGTGCCTGCAAATTTTTGTCATAGTTGCGAAGTTGTAACATAGTCAGCTGAAAGTATTATTAATTTATATGCAATAAAATTGTAAGATAATAAACCTATTTTTTGCCAAGTATCCAAGTCCTACAGAAACGAATAAAACCCAGAGCTATAACCTCAACACCATTCATTATCAACAACTGTACCCAAAAGAATTTTTTCTTAAAGATTCAAACATCAAAAAGAAGAATGTTGACATTTCGTAAAATTAATCCAAACTATTGATGCGTAAGCAATTACAGAAAACAAGTATCATGAGCATTGTGATCTAAAACCCTTAAGAACCATTAAGTAAATAATCAAAATTCATGATATAAAAAGTCACAAGAATAGTTAATCACTCATAAATCGCTCATACCTGAAAAGCCTGACGGTGACTGCATATTTTGGAGATGGAAGAAGATAAGTGATCCTAAACAACGGTTTATGACTTTATGGCTCCGTGTATGTATCAAGTTATGTTACCTATATTTAAGGAAACAAATCCCCTTTGACCAAGGAGTCTAAGATCTAATATTGACCCCCATAATTATCAATGAGGCAACTACAATCAACCTGTGCTGACTATTTTTAAACCGAAAATAAATAAATAGAACTTTAAAGTAAAATTATATTAAATAACCCTTATTTTTCCAGCCCTTTTCTATTTTTTTTTACAAAATTACCCTTATATAATTTTTAAACCAAAAAAAATAAATAAAACTTTAAAGTAAAATTATATTAAATAACCCTTATTTTTTCGGCCGTTTTATAATTTTTTTACAAAATTACCCTTATATGTATAAACTTAAACAGTTAAACACAACACATTAAATAATATTCGACTTTGCTTGACATTGCCCAAATATCATCTTCAACCTCCAATTATCAATCGCTTGACTATGCCCAACATCGCGCGAATTTTTGGATTTAGGCACTATAATAAAAAGCCAATAACACCCAATAGCGCTCAATTATCAGGATTCGGGCACTGTCGTCTCCAACCTCTAGTGCCAAATCGCTTGCAACTTACATGAATGATTACACAACATGCAGTACAAATGCGAAACACAAACCTTAAATTGATACCCAAAAGAAAAAAGAAAAAAAACATGACATCCAACTACAATTAAAAGTTATTTAAAGCTAAATTACAATATTTAACACATAACTCATACCTAAATTAACTACCTTACATNATGCGGTTGGAGGGGCGTCGGCAAGCGAGGAGCAATAGCTACACTGTTCCCCTGTTTTGTCTTTTAAAATACATTTTTTGTAAACAGTACTCTTTATGTATAAAAGACACATGAATTGTAATGAAAAGAAAACTTTGGGCCCAATTTTCTATTGTTATTATGCATGCATTGTACAGTTTTCAGTAGATGTTACATGGAGAGTGAAAATCCTCACTAGTTGTGCTTACAGAAGAGCAAATTAATTATAAAGTGTTTTAATATTCATGTTCAAGAAGGAGCAGGGGCGGACCCAGCCCCTTGGAGGGTAGGCCCAGGCTTACCCTCACATTTTTTTTAAAAAATTGTTTATATAGGCTTATAAAAAAATTCTATTAATATATAGGTTTATCTTCTGATTTTAAAAAAATGAGAAATATTATACATATATCCAGACTTATAAAAAACTTGCTATTAATATATAAATTTCACGTCTACATTGTATTAAAAGTTTAAAACTCTCTATACTCTTTTCTACGTGCATCTGTTTTTTATGATTTTATCCATAAAATTATTTATTATCTCATTCTCTTTTTCACTTTCTCTATGTTATTCGTTCTTAAAACTTTTGAAGACTGAAATTGTTGAAACTTTCACTCATCAAGGTGCCACAATTAGCTTCGCTTTCTGTTTTGTTAGTTTTAGGTATGTGTATTGCTTATTTCATTTTAGTTTATTTTATGGTTGAATCATGCTTATTTTTTGAAGGTTTTTTATTCTAATTTGATGGAAAAAGATGTGAATCTTGTGAGTTTGTTTTGTGTTTTATGTTTAAGAATGTTCCTGCTTTCCCAAATTAAACCTTAACTATATTTTACTGAACGTTATTTTTCATCCTTCACCCACAACTTTTCTACATTTCAAACGTTATCGTTTAGCTGCTCAAAATTATTAAAGAAGTTTGGGTTATTATCTATGTTTATACTAAGAAAATTTTCCTTTTTTTTATTAATTCATATTAAAAGTCAAGGCAACATTGACTTAATTTAAATTTTAGTTGACTTTAGCTTAGGCTAGGACTGATCAAAGTCATAAAAAATTATATTATAATCTTTAAAAGCAAAAAAAAAAAAACAAAAAAAAAAAAAAAAAAAAAAGTAGAAATAGAAAAATTGTGTTTAGAACATTTTTTGGAATTGTGATTGTTGTAAATTCTTTTAATTATATTGAATTTAAGTAGATCGTTGATTGTCGTAGTTTTTTTTGTTCTCTTTATTGAAGAGGTTTTTTCCATGTAAAATTTTTCTTGTGTTTCCTCGTAATTGAATGTTATTTTCAACATATTTGCTCAAGGTTTTGCTTCTCATAGATTTATTCAAGTGGTAAAGTATTCTGTTGTTGTATTTTTTCTTTCAGATTATTAATATTATTATTCTTTTGCTTAAGGTTTGGTGATTTTTTTTAATTTTCATTAGTTGTTTGATAAACAATTGCCACGGAGCCCCCCTGGGCAAAATCCTGGGTCCGCCACTGGGAAGGAGGAGACGAATTAAAAATATGCATATATTTTGCAAGAATAAATTTTTGTTGAGGTGTTCAATAAATATCAATAAGCAACTAGAATCAATATGTGCATACCATGTAAAGTATCTGAAACAAGCAATAAACTAATGAGAGCAGTATTTGCAGAGACACTGAATCAATTTTGTAGACATATAATTGCCAAAAGGAATTTCACAATCATTGCTATGTCAAACTCTTTCAACAAGATACAAATTTCCATTGGAATGGCACTTACAATTTCCTTTTAACATAAATCCATATGGTGCTAGTTATTACACATAGTATAAACTAGAACACACAGCAAAACAAATCAGAGCTCTCTTGAAACTGAACTGATTGCAGGACTCACCATTTAAGGAGTATAAAGGATATATATGCAGTGCTTCGTCCTCCCCCATTGCTGGGTTCACTGGCTTGAAGCAACAATTGTTGCCATAATCAATAAAGAAAGCTTGGTCACCAAGTTAGTCAACTTCACCCATTCCATCCTTGAAAAGTCTATTCTGTAAACTTCATAATTATATCTATCGACCAACCTCGACCGCTACCAGTCAAAACGAGGTGTAAAATTCAATTCCAAAAACCTAAAATTAGAAGATCCCAGGAAAGGGCGTGGAAGAGAATTGGCGCTGATGTCCTGTACAGGATTTATAAGCCAAAAATACCCTCAAAAAGATGACCTCTTCATAAAGTACATGATTAATTAGCCACTTGAAACCCAAGACAGACTTGAAGTCCCAAATATCATTGGCAGGTTAGTTTTGTATCTCATTCGAGAAGTTATGTCAAGAAATAACAAGAATTCTCACACTGTCATGTTGAACCTATAACAAGAGGTGATTGTGATGTGTGAAGAATGAGTTTCAAAACAAGATGATGAGCAGAGTTTTAATTATAAGAATGTTAAGTAAAAACGCAGCGTACTGTAATAGTTGTTCAGAGTCGTCATTGGTGTTTGAAAAAGGTTAAGAAACTTGCTGAGTCAGCAACCTGGAGTACTCTGCATTTCAATTGAGCTGGATTGCCCTGATACGCACTGTCATTCTTGTATAAGAACCGAAACCTCATCACTTCAATAAGATTTAAGAAGTTCTTTTTAGTATGTAATGCTTATGGAGACTTGAGAATCGAATTTGCAGAAATAAACTAAACCAGACAATATATTTGCAGAGAGCTTGAAACAATTTTGTTGACTAGGGTATTGGTAAAGGGACTCTATGACTGGGTGCTCAACCAAGCTGTTATGTTAATATATTAGCCACAACAATTTAAAAATAAAACTCTTACACTGATAATCTTCTCCAAGTTTACAACTGAAAAAAGAAAACTAATACCCAGTTAACCAGATTTTATTCTACAACTCGTATAAGATAGGGCAGTTTGACAACTAATAGCTCAACTGATTTCAAGGGAATTGACCTCAGCAAGAATTAACAACATTGCTGATCATTACTCCGCCCGGAATCTTCTGTTTCAGTTTTGAAAATTAATTTTCATTCTAGGTGCACAGAAAAGGTAAGAAACTGATAATAGAAATATACAAGATTTGGCAAATTGTCAACAATATTGTATTGTTATTATCTCAGAATATCAATTGTAAAAGAGTTAGAAGAAATAACATATAACTCCGACAAAGAAAAAAAATGTCACATTTGCCCTTGTCTAAGCTTAGAAATCTTTGCAAACCACCCCACTACTCATCCCTTACATCTCAATACTGCTTGCCTGATGTAGAAAAACCAAGAATATATTTGGTCGAAGCATAACCTTTCCCCCCCCCCTTGCTGTGGCAAATCAACAGTAATAGTTTCCCGTGGCTCCTTGTTAAACGGGAATAATTATATCTGGTAAAGTATTCTGTGGCTCCTTGTTAAACGGGAATAAGAGACTATATAGCGGTTGTTTTGTCCCCCCCACTTTGATGGGTTAATTACCTTGGAACACATCATGTCACCATGGCCAAGAAACAAAGCTTGATCACCTAAATTATACACCTTTACCCATTCCATCCTTGACAACTCTATTCTGTAAACTTTAGGAGAATCACTACAAACAGCTGATCATTTGAAGCCACCAACCTAATCCATCATCAAAATAACTGCCGAAACGAGGTGAAAATTTTAGTTCCAAAAACCTCAAATCACAAGATCTTAGGTTGAATATCCCAATCTGAGAATTACTGTCTAGAACATATCCTACCATAAAAAACAACTATACCCAATATACGCCAACCCTTTTTAACATAATGATATACTTTCCACTTGTATCTCTAGAAGTACAGAACTGCAAGCTTGTGACATACTTGGAAGAATCATAATAAGAAAATCTTGACCCTGTGACCAAAGGAAGCAAAGATGCTACGGGATGCAAGAGTCATGATAATCCTTATACAATGGCCAGGCACACAAGGGAATTGGATTTGATGTCCCGTAAAAGGATTTTATAACCCATAATAATCTCTTGAAACATTGTTTGTCTTGAGACGGAGCTGATTAAGTATCCATTGAAACACCAAGACAGAATTTGAAATTGCGAATATATCGAGGCACCTTAGTCTTGTATTTCATTCGAGTAGTTATGTCAAAGAAATAACAATACTTCTTAGCTCGTGTTGATGCATACAACTAAGTGGTGAATGAGATGTCGAAAACCTGCTTAAATTCTGAATAAAATAATCTCCCCTTCTGCAAACTCGACCAAGTTTTGATAGTCTACTATATTCAGACTTCTAGAAATAATCTCAGAAGTTCTAGCGGAAGATCAGCCCTGCTGATGATCTCTTACAGTGGACCCTTCTTGCCTGATTGGATCTTCTTATTCTCTCTTCCATCATGTGCCTGCAAATTTTGTCATAGTTCGAAGTTGTAACATAGTCAGCTGAAAGTATTATTAATTTATATGCGATAAATTGTAAAATAAATAACCTATTTAGCCAGTCAGTCCACAGAAACGAATAAAACCCGAGCTATAACCTCAACACCATTCATTATCAACAACTGTAACCAAAAGAATTTTTCTTAAGATCAAACTCAAAAAGAAGAATGTTGACATTTCGTAAAATTAATCCAAACTATTGATGCGTAAGCAATTACAGAAAACAAGTATCATGAGCATTGTGATCTAAACCCTTAAGAACCATTAAGTAATAATCAAAATTCATGATATAAAAGTCACAAGAATAGTTAATCACTCATAATCGCTCATACCTGAACAGCCTGACGTTGACTGCATATTGGGGATGGAAGAAGATAAGTGATCCTAAACAACGGTTTATGACTTTATGCTCCGTGATTATCAGTTATGTTACCTATATTTAAGGAAACAAATCCCTTTGACCAAGGAGTCTAAGATCTAATATTGCCCCCCATAATTATCAATGAGGCAACTACAATCAACCTGTGCTGACTATTTTAAACCGAAAATAATAAATAGAACTTTAAAGTAAAATTATATTAATAACCCTTATTTTTCAGCCCTTTTCTATTTTTTTTTTACAAATTACCCTTATATATTTTTAAACCAAAAAAATAAATAAAACTTTAAAGTAAAATTATATTAATAACCCTTATTTTTCAGCCCTTTTCTAATTTTTTTTACAAAATTACCCTTATATAATTTTTAAACCAAAAAAATAAATAAACTTTAAAGTAAAATTAATTAAATAACCCTTATTTTTCGGCCGTTTTTAATTTTTTTACAAATTACCTTTATGTTAAACTTAAACAGTTAAACACACATTAATATATCGATTATGTGCTTGACATTGCCCAAATATCTCTCTTCAACCTCAATTATCAATCGCTGACTATGCCCATCGCGCGAATTTTGGATTTAGGCCTATAATAAAAAGCCAATACACCCAATAGCGCTCAATTATCAGGATTCGGGCACTGTCGTCTCCAACCTCTAGTGCCAAATCGCTTGCACTTACATGAATGATTACACAACATGCAGTACAAATGCGAAACACAAACCTTAAATTGATACCCAAAAGAAAGAAAAAACATGACATCCAACTACAATTAAAAGTTATTTAAAGCTAAATTACAATATTTAACACATAACTCATACCTAATTACTAACTACCTTACATGTGGAAAAACCTATATTTTATAGCTTACAACATATGAAATAAGTGTCTTTAATTTAATGTTAACTAAGTATAATTGATTGATTTGTTGATATGTGTTCGAAGATGAGTAAGAGATGAAATTGGGTTTAATATAAGGGTAAAATCGACAATAGAATAAAAAATAACTATAAATTATAAGAATTTTAAAATAGGCTATTTTTTAATTCTCCCATGAAAAAAGGGCTACTTTATAATAATTCCCCAATTTTAAAACTAATATCCTATTTAATAAATACCTACGGAAAAACCATACATCTCAATACCTTTAATTTCTTTGATAAGTATTACTAAAACAAATTAGGAGAACATTAAAAAAAAAAACCACCAAATTCGATAACCAACCAACTATTAATCTCTTTTGCATACCACCAAACTATTCATCCCTCACATTCTCAATGCTGAAACATTGGTCAGGAAAAACCAACCATTCATCTTGGAGCAGCTTCTTGTCTCATGATAGGAAAACTTCCCAGAATCTCCCCATTCAGCTGTTATATAACAAGTGGTTGTCCATGAATGGCAGGTGATAAACGCAGTTGCTTTCGCCTCCCCAGTTCGTTGCATTGCTCAACCTTGAAGACATTCTGTCACCAAGAAAAATAGCTTGACGTTCATCTCTCAGTCGGTTCACCTTAACCCATTCCATCTTCAATAAATCTATGGTGTACACTTCAAGATTGTAAGCCGCCGGAGGGAAATCAACAATCAGAAGCTGGTTCTTTGAAGCCACGAACCTGACATTACGAATGCCGCTCAACTGAGGTGTGCCTTTCAGATTCAGAAGAATCACCTCACGAGTTTTGACGCTGAGAACACCAATCTGATACTCACTTGTTAGAGCATAAATCCTGCCTCCGAAAACAACAATGTCTCCAATAGACCAAGTTTTCCCTTTATAAGAGAATTGTTGCCATTGGTTAACCCTGGAAACAAAGAACATCAATTTGTTATATACTGGAGAGAGAACCGCAAGAAGATAATTATCTTGAGAATCTCCAATGGAAGCGAACACGGCACGGTCAGGGCAATACAAAAAATTACGAGCTTCAAACAAACGAGGGTAATTGAGTTGGTGGCCGGTGACAGGATTGATGAGCCAAACATTGGTGAGAATATCTTCCATGATTAAGTATCCATTTGAGAAACCAATACAGAAGTTGCGAGCAAAGTAAGGGAGCTTAGTTTGATATGAGTTTGGGGAAGTAGTTATTTCGTAGAAACGACAAGATTTCTTGGCTCGAGTTGAAATGTAAATGACAAGAGGTGGTCGTGAAGCCATGAACTGCCCCTTGGTTTCTGTATAAAATAATCTCCAGCTTCTGCAAACTTTGCCAAAGCTGAGAAAATCTGCAACACTGAGACTGTCAGATTTAGAGAATATATGAAGAAGTTCCTTGGGAAGATCAGCCCATGGTCTTGACTTTGCAGGAATAATAGGAGTGATCCTTTGTTTCTTCCTGCTGCTTCTTTTGAGCTTTCTTTTCTTCTCTATTTTGGGTGCTGTGCCTGCATTTTACTCAGAAAATAAGAATAATAAAGCTATTTTTCTTAAAAAATTTAAGGTTATAATTCATAAATTTAATGTCAAAATATATAAATTGATTGTTTCAAATGATAAAATGTGTAATTTAAGATATTATTTATAATATATTAAAGAATTTTTTTGAATAAGGATATAATCACATAAATATATAAAAATAAAAATTGACTATTTCAATATTGATTTTATAAATATAATAATAAAAAGTCAACAAAAAAAAAAAGGGTGGAAAATAAAGCAAATTTTCTTCAAAATTTGTTGGTATAATTCCTTAATGTAATTTTATGTTATTTTTTAATGTATTAAATATTTTTTTTTTTTATTAAAGATATAATCACTTAAAATAGAAAATAAAATTAAGACTACTTCAATATAATTTTTATAACATAGTAATAATAATTCAAAGAAAAAGTGTGGAAAATATTAAAAAAATTCTAGTTCTTTAACCTTTTCAACACCTCACCAACTGTAATAATTTTTTTGTCCGAATTAAGGCATCATCAACCAAATCCAATCTAACAAAACAAGATCTTACAAAATTATAAATCAACAACGTCACAAACGATATGATTTGGTAAACTTTTTTAATATATACATCCATTTAGTAAAAATATAAATACATATGTGACTGGCAAATATCAGAAGAAGTAGTTAATAAATTTCAATCTATTAATCTATAAAAAAATCAAATCCATAGGAATCATATAAGAAAATAGATAAATTAAATAACAAAAATCACTATATAAAAAAAAAATAAATAAATAAACTCACTAAAATGGTTAATCATAAATTAACCCAAACAATTAATACAAGGAAAGCAATTTTAAATATTTCTACTTGAACAAAGAATGTGAGAGTGAATACCTAAGGTTGGCAATGCTTGCAGAAATTGTGGTCGAAGATGATAACGATCAGCGCCGCCTCTCACTCTCATTTCCATCTCTATCTATCTTTTACACACACGCTCTTCAAACTAGGGTTCGTAACGCTTATATACACATGAAATGCATCTATTCAGTTTATTTTGACCCGTACTCAACGTCTGTCAAACTCTGATAGGTGTTACCAGTTTAGGAAGGTGTCAGGGCAAAGTTATATTGCATTTATTTTCAATGTATCTCTCAGATTATCATAGACTATAATTATGTATAATTATTTAATTTTTTGCACCGCAAAACAACTTGGTTGAAATTTATTATTAGCACTTTATAGAAAATTTATAACTTTTCAATATACCCCTTAAAATTTAAGAAAGAAACTTCTTAATTTGAAATTATTAAAAAGTATTATATACCCCTTAAAATTATTAATAATTAATATTATATAATTATAACATCCAAAAATCAATTTTATGTATACAATTTATAATTATTCTCACATAAGGAGGCATTTTATATGTGTAACATTATCCTTTTATTAAACAAAAACTTATAAGTAGGAATTTAAAATTCAGTATCAAAATTTTTAATACTAAAACTTATTATTTACTATTATCATTATTATCTATAAATAGTTTTTTAAGTAATTAATCATAATGATGATGATTCCTAACCAAATAAGGAATATTTTAATTATAATTAGGAAAGTTAATTAATAACTTTTGTTAGGCAGTTGTATTTTTTGCCATATATGAACATGACAAAAAATACAAAATTTAATGATATTAATATATTGAATAATGTAAAAACATATATAAATATAAATAATAATAATTAAATTGTAAGTATTATTCATTTTATATTATAATATTGTAACACATTCACTGTCATATACTATTGAAATTCACATCTCTATAATCAAATTTTATTACTCAAATTATAATTTAAGCAAAATTTCACAATTTTTTATAAGAGAAACTTCGACTGAATTTTCACTAAACTCAATTTACAAAATATAATTGGGGTTATTATCATTATGAGAATAGTTAAATTAAAAAAAAAAAAAAAAAAAAAAAAAAAAAAGGTAGAAGTTTTTGTCAATCAATGAGAAGACAATTAACGGTGAATTTTGGTTAGATTTCACAAAGTTAGCATAAAAGGCATAACAACCCCTAATAATAGTTTTTGTTTAAATTAAAAATAAATAAAACTTTATTAAATTAAAAAATAAAATAAAAATAATAGTCACCACGGTCTATTGCCATCGGATTTCTGGCAGGATCGTGCTCAGGATAGTGGCAACTAGGCCAATGCTGCCAAGCGCAACCCAAGCTCAGCCAGATCGTCGTCGACAATGGACACAAGGAATCACAAGAAGCCAGGCACGATTTGTATATCGCAGTTGATCCGGTGCAATTTAGGCCAAGTCACACTTGGCGTAATGCGATTCCCACAAATTGCTATTGGCCTGATGCGATTCCAGCCACACAGCACCTGAGTTTTTGATTTTTTAATTTAAATTTTTGAAAGTTTTTGTATGATTCTTTTACAATTTTTCAGTTTTTTTTCCTATTTCTCGGAAATTATATAGAAATATAATTTGTAGAGTATTTGATTTTAAATTTTTCATAATTTTGTTATTTTGAGATTATTTTATTTTTCACTTTTTATAATTTATGTTTCAAAAAGTTCAATTTTTTATTTTTAGTTTTCACATTATTTTATTTTATTTATTTTACTTTTTTAATTTTTCAATTTTCTTTTTTCTCAAACTTGTATTTTCACATGCAAGTATATAAGATTAATGAAGGAAAGACAATAGTATCCCTCTCTTAATCAACTTTAACATTTTTGGATCGTTAATTATTCTTTAACTGATATATATATATATATCATCCCTGACATTATCTATGTTTTGTAGAAAATACCAAAATTGTTTTCTGGTAGGTTTCACAACAGTAAGAATATTTTTCCAGCGCTCACTATTTAAGGAGTAAATAGAATATACACAGAACTGTGTACAGATTTGATACACGCAGTTGCTTCGTCCTCCCCACTTTCTTGGATTGATTGTCCTGGAAGAATTCATGTCACCAAGAAACAATGCTTCACCTCCCAAATTATCCACTCTAATCCATTCCATTCTCGCTATATCAATCTTGTAAAGTTTAATATCTTTCAACCAACAAATATTAAAAAGATCAACAATCAGAAGTTGATTATTTGAAACCACCAAACTGACAGATGAGCTCAACGACAAACGTGGTGCAAATCTCACTTTCAAAAGCTTCAACTCCAAACATCTCACATTCAATATCCCAATCTGAGAATCATTAGTTAAAGCAAATATTTTCCCATCGAAGAAAATTATGTCCTCTATATTCCAAGGCTTCCCCGCACAATTATATTCTTTCCACCGCACAATTATATTCTTTCCACTGGTTATCTCCAGATATACAGCAGTACAATCTCTTGTTTATCTTAGAGTGAATCAAAACAAAAAAATCAGAATTCTGAGCCGACCCAATTGAAGCAAAGATGGTTTTCTTCGGGTTTTCAAAGCCGGGAGGAAGCGGCACGCGAGAGAAGCAGTGAAATTGGTGTCCGGTAACTGGATTTATAAGCCAAATAGTATTGGAGATAAGTTTTTGAATGATTAAGCACCCACTTGAAATTCCGATAACCGAGTTGCGATCAAGGTTAGGGAGCTTGATTTTGTATCTGTTTCGACTTGTTATGTTGTAGAAATAAGCAGTCTTGTTAGCCATCTGAAGGACAAGGGGTGGTGAATGCAAAGATAAAAACCTTTGCTTGGATTCCAAGTAAAATAATCTCCAGCTCTGCAAACTGCACCAAAGGTGCTGTTATGCCTGAAAAATATAGGGCTGACATAAGGTCCAGTCAGCATACAAAAGTCAGAGTATGAGAACACCCACTGCCGAGTCACGTGAGGAAAGGGGCAGCCTGCTTCTGTCAGAACAGTAGGTACGCGCCAGACAAGCTAGAAGCTGTGGTGATCCCACGTGTCCAATCCTTGCTCCAAATCGCGTAAATCACTCTAGAATGTGGGCAATGTGACATAAAGAAGGATTTGTACACTTAATCCCACCAGCTCACAGATTCAGTAATCATTAGCTCAATGTATCCCACTATAAATAGAGAGCTCCTCTCCCAATCAGGGGATCCGCTCATTTTTACTCTTGATTAGCTACACAATCTCTCTCTATAATATAGCACTCTCTCTCTCTTTTACTATCATTTGTAAGTCAGTCCGCTAATGCGACCTGACCCTTATCATTAATATAAACATCAGTGGACGTAGGACTTGCTACCTTAGCATCCGAACCACTTTAAAAGCTGTCCCCATTGCATTTACTCTTATATTCCCTTATATTCACGTGTGTCTTCTGGGCCAGCTCAGCATTTCACACGTGCGTTTCGTTGGTGTAAAAATCACGCATCAACAGTTTGGCGCTAGAATGAGGGCCTGATTTAGTGTTCATCTTTCATCAGGAGAATCTCTAACTTACTGGTCCTACAACAGCAAATGGCCCGCCAACCTGAACCTGAGCAAACCAACCAGGGTGCTAAGGGGACCCCCCAAGCCCGGGGAGACACCTCTTTCAAAATACCTTCAGTTCCTCAAAATGCTGCAGGGGATATCCCATCAAGTTCACAACTTGACCCTGCCATTAAAAGCTACCTAGAGAGGTTCGACAATACTCTCCAGATGGTCAACCGAAGGTTGGACCGTTTGGACCAAGGCGTGCCATCCAAATCAGTTGAGGTGGTGCAACCGCCAAAAACGCCTGTAGGTCACGCGAAAGCGCGGCAAAGGGAAATAACCCATGCCGCGAGCACTGCAGCGCGTCGGAGAAAGGGCAAGCAAGTGGCGAAGAATGGGGCTAAGGGCTCCAAAGGGCTGGCAAACACCGACCGTGTCCCAAGCAGAATACCAGTCTCGTTGAGACTCGGTGAAAAGACGCAGCCCGAGCTGTCCCATGCCACGTTGCAAGTACACCCCCATAAAAGTGTTGGGCGGGGTGATTCCTATCACCGCCAACAAAACGATCTTGATCGTCACCGTACGAGAGGATCCCACACTTCACGGGGCGGTTCTTACCGTCGCAAAGGTCATGAAAATACCCCGCACCATTCATCGCCATCACACGGCTCTAGCCAGCGTGTGTCGAGAGTGGTCGGAACCGCTGGCCGAGGCGAAGAGGAACCCGACCTTCGGACTTTCCTCAACCATAATCGCGAGGGTCGAACTCGCATGGGTGAAAGCAATCCCCAAGTGGCTCCATTGCCACAAATTGAGGAGCTGCAGCGGGCTCTAGACCGACTAAGAGCTCAGCAAAATGAGCAAGGGCATGTCGCGTCAGCATCCCCATTCTCTCCCGAAGTGCTAGCCACTCCACTCCCACCAAAATTCAAGATGCCCGACATGCAGGCGTTTGATGGAAATTCTGATCCTCAGGATCATTTATATGAATTTAACGACCTGATGGAGCTTTACCAGGTCTCAGATCTAGCAAAATACCGTTGTTTGGTAGTGACTTTAACCTCCCATGCCAAACGGTGGTTTTGGTCGCTCCCAGCGAGATCGATCAATTCGTGGCCTCAGATGAGCGCGACGTTCCTAAGGTATTTTCAAGCGAACCGAAAGTTCTTGATGCCTTTGAGCTACCTCAGCAATCTAAGGCAAGAAAGGGATGAATCCCTCCAGTCCTTCATCGACCGTTTCCATAGAGAGCTCAACAAGGTGGTTCATACTCCCGAAAAGTTTGTTCGGACTCTCATCATAGCAGGAGTTCATCCACAAACCGACCTGTGGAAAGAATTACAGGCTGAGGACGATGTTTCCCTCACCCAATTCTATAACCCTGCAGAGAAGTACCTACAGATTGAAAATTCATTGGCGGCACTCCGTCGTCGTGACCCCGGCGATTCAAGCAGTACATCAGGTCGGGGGGAAAGTAGAAGAGCTGATTGCAGAGGGGCCGCTGACGACCAACGCAAAGGAAAAAACCTCGCTACGAGCCCAAAAAGTCCTATGCTC